GATTCCTAATCTAATTCCTAATTTAGTTCAATAGATTCCTAATTGTTCCCTCAGCTTCTGGCTTTGTGCTCTTATTCTTGGTAAGGTGTTAGATGGATTATAAGCTTCTGCTAAAAACACTTGCAGGAATACATTCTCATGAAATGCGAAAGTCAAAAGTTTTCAAAGCTCCAGACAGGGTCAGTACAATCGGACTGTCTCACAGACTGCACGTCTGCCCACCCCCTACTCAGCAGAGACATAAGAGCCTGTGTTACTCTTCAACACACTAAACGCAAAACCTGTCTTTGAACCTTTTATCTGTAGCTATCATGTTCTTTTCCAAGATATTTCTATGACTTTTTATTTCCATGGGTATTTACTCAGGTGTTACTCTTTCAGTTTATATTTCTTTGGCCATCTTACTTAGAATTTCCCACATTTCCAGCACTTTCAATCTTGCTTCCCTGCATTTTTCTTTTCCTTTTTAATATTTGTTATTCTGAAGCATAGAGTATTTTACTTACTTTTCTTTTCTTTTCTTTTCTTTTTTTCTGACAGCTCCCTCAGCTTTTCTGTAGGTTCTGTAAAGGTGTGAACTTATGTCTATTTTGTCCATAATTGAATTCTGAGGGCCTCCAACAGTGCTTGGTGCAGAATGGTTACTCAACACACATTTATTGAACAAATGAGGGAGGCTGATAGATTTGATGAATCCTTTACTGAACTTTAGTTTATCCTTTAATAATTTGTGGTACATTGATCACACCTGGGATGGCTTGCTGTGTAACCCAATAATAAATTGCAATGAAGCACATTTCTACCACATATCTCTTCTTGAATTTCTAGTAAGTTTCTAAGACTTGACCCACCCAAACTGAGCTAAATTATCTACATGATAATTTATTTCAGAGTGTGCTTTCCTAGGTATCTGTACTGCATTACCTGATGGGTGATAGCAAGGCACTATAATATACTCATTTTAGAAACCTGTGTGCGTGTGTGCCTTCTACCTACTGAACCATCCTTCTTTTAGAAATGTTCTCCATCCATCAGGTTAGTGTCTCCAACACCCCGAGCAATGGTCTGTACCAGTCTGGGCCCTGCTGTGAACTGTGCCACACAGCAGGAGGTGAGCGGCCTGCAACCCAACAAAGCTGCATCTGTGTTTACAGCTGCTCCTCCTTATCTCTCGTTACTGCCTCAGTTCTCTCTCCTGTCAGAGCAAAAGCAGCATGAGATTCCTCCCCCATTTTTATGTTTTATTATTACGTGTTGGTGGCAAATAATGATTACATTCCTTTGGGAAACTGGAAGACACACATAACATGTCTTAATTCTTCACAATCTCCCCACAGGAGCCTTGCTCCGAATTGCTCAGGCAGGAAACTGCTCATGTGTGTGACTTGCAGTCATCCCAAAACCAATTCTTATCACACCACCCTCCCCACACACACTGTCTTCCATGAAACGGCCCGTGGTCCCTAGTGGTACAGAGATTGGCGTCTGCTCTGAAGACTGCAGTGCGATTGCTAGAGAGTCCACATTGGGTCTGCGTTTTATGGATTTTGTTACCGTCTCTCACATCAGAAGGGTAGCAACGCAGTAGGGATGATGAAGAGCATGTTTCAGACTCATCAGGCATAGATAATTCGAGGTTCATCACTTTCTGCATAATTGACTACATTTTAACTTCTCAAAACCTTTGTGATGTTTGTAAAACAGAGATGATAAATGATAGCTACCTTTCAAGATTTTTATGAATACTATTAATATGCATATACCATGCATTCAACAGACACATGAAGCTACTGGGTCACAGGTAAAGAAGACAGACAATGAACAGAGAATACAAATCAGGAGCATTTAAAAGTTTTCTGTTCATAAATGTATTATATTTCAAAATGTTTTTGATAGTACACATTTGCAATTCACACAGTTTACAATAATCTTGGATATGTACATAATACAGCTTCATTCTTTCTTTCCTCCCCTCTCCTCCAGTTCCCTTTCTCCTTTTAATGCTCATTTTAATGCTCATTTGTCTTAGTTCATGTTACAGTACATAGTATTTACACTAATCAGGGCTATTAGGTTCTTGTACATGAGACATCTTTATTCCTATTTCACCTTCCCCTCCTCCTCACCCCTTGCCCTGGTTCCCTTGCATCACTTCCCTACTGCAAGAGATTCCCCCCTTCTTGTCCCTTTCTTTCCATCCTTTATCATTTTCTTTGGCCTTTGCCCCATTCAAATGAGAGATACTAAGCTTGGGTGTTTGGTTTATTTCTGCATGTTTTTCTGGGCAACATAAAGGCCTCCTGTCTATCTGTGAACTCTAAAGCACCTACAATGTTCTCTCCTGGTTTCTCTGAGAGTATATTCCCTTACTTTTCCTTCATATGTTCTTGTGTGCCTCCTTTCCTTAGCTGGATTTTCCAAAACCTGGCCTCTGAGTGTGGCTTAGCACTTAGCTTCATGGAGAAAGTTACAGTATAAATGTGTCCTAAATGTTTGTTAAGAGTGTATGAATAAATGCTTGGGGCATGACGGGTGTTTGAGGAAAGATGTTGATCTTAACTTTCAATACACATCACTATATTTTTTTATTACATCAGTTTCTCTCACCCAATAATTAGTAGATTTTTCTTGAATGAGTTAATTAACTTACATATACAAAGAAAGCAATCTTTTAGTATATAACTATATGTGCATGTGTATCAATATTTAGGGTTCTCCTAAAATAACTATTATAAGATATACAGTTAATATTTTATCTTCATAAGTTTGATTGGTCAATTCTAATTTCTTTTTTCAATCTGATGCTTTTACATAAAAGTGTTTTGTTATAGGCTTGTCCACTAATTCTGGGCTTAATTAGGAATTGTGCTTTCTTTTAGTTGGTACATTTGTCTGCAGTATAATTCACATAATCATGAGAATAAGCATTTTCTCCAGACATTTAGTCAAAGAAATGTTAAATAATTTGAGATAACATCTCCATGAGAAAATTAACATTATTTGCTCCCTTTCTTTTAAGAACTTTTTGTTTTTGGTTTTGTTTTTTTTCCAGTACTGGGAATCAAACTCATGACCTTGCGCTTGCCAGGCAGGCACTGTGCCACTGAGCTAAATCCCCAGCCCCTCTTATGAACTTTTATAACCAAAATATTAACTTTTATAACCAAACACCTTCTTATTCTGAAGCATCTCATCATTGAGGAGTTTTTTGGTTTTTTTTTTAGTGTTTGGCACTATAAAGAGGGAATGTTTCTCTGTTGCCATAGAAAACAGTAGGAGGAAACTGAAAATGAGGGTAGAGTGATGATTGGAAATGTGATTCAAGTTCTGTTTATTTTGTGTCTGGCCTGGAATTTTTGGAGATCAGATGATTTCTGAAACTATTAGTATTCTTGTAAAGGCATGATAATTTGATAAATTCCTGAAGAAACATCACCTAATTTTAAAAGATGGTACTTATGAAGTTAGTCATTTTAAAATAATGTAAGATCCTTGACTAGCAGAGATAACATAAAAAACAAGTCTCTTACACAATCACTTTAAATAATTAAAATCATTAATGTGTCATTTTTCTTCTATAAATGATGCCAGATTTTTATGTAGGAAAGTTGAAGAAAAATCTCCTTTCTCCCAGGAATTTAAATGGCAATATGTGACTATGTTATAGCTATACCAGGTTTCTTCTTGGAAGAATAGTTCTAAACATGCATATACCCAGTCCTGTGAGCCTTAGTGATGTGGGAATTATTTTTTCTGGATCAGGGCTAGGGAACTGATTACTGTGAATTTTATTACAAGGCTTTGTAATTACTTTGAAAACTCTCTGGAGAACCAAATGGATTGCATGAGAATTTTCTGTTTCATCACCTAGCCACAGAATGCCCTTGGACACTGAACAATTGTATATGTGTATATTTATATATCAAAGGGATGGATATATATATATGTATATATATATATAAGGGATGGATATGTATACACACACACACACACACACACACACACACATATCCCTTTTCAATGTATGAAACATTTATATAGTATCTTATGTTGATTCCCAAGAGGGCAGCCTCGTACATATTATTCTCCTTTTCTAAGATGAAGATATTTCAGTGATGAGAGGCTAAATAATTTAGCCTTTTTTTAGTCTTTGGCACTATACAATATTTCTAAAAGCAGAACTGAGGTTGAAATGTCTGTATTATTTTCTCCAAAAGTTGTGTTCATGTCACTATTTCTTGCTGCCTTTGGAGATCATTTTACTTTGTAATATGTCAGTGTTCTTCTTATCTTCTCCAATTTATCAAACTTGAAATACTCATCTCTTCTTATTCATCTTTCTTCCATCCACATATTTATTAAACAAATGCTTCTTCATTCCTGGAAAGACTATTCAGTTTGCTTTACCTTGCATTCAGAGGACTATATGGATTTTGTTTTGCTTGTTTTCTTACTTTGGCAGTGCTCTCAATGAAGACCAAGTCCTTAACTATGTTAGGCAAGTGCTGTGTTGCTGAGCTATATCCCTAGCCTTTTAAAGATTACTTTATTTTTAAAGTTGCATAATTAATACATGCTCAGTGCTGAAACTTTGGAAAGAAACAAAAAGCCTAATGAAAATGAAAGTAAAACAATTCCCCAAATGCCATCACCTAGAAATCACCAATATTTACTGTGTTGGAGTACATACCTTTCTGTTCGTACTAGTTTGAGCTCTCTAACTTCTCCCTAAAAGAACAGCTGTGCCAGTCACCCATGAGATTTGATTTTATGTACTCCAAATGAACTAAAGAAAAATGTTATTCTAAGTAAGCCAGAAGCAAAAAGCTATATCATCTGTTTCATCAAATCATAAAAGACAGAGACAAAAGAAATCAGAAACATTTATTAATTATTTATTCTTATAATCCAGCCCTTATTTCTGCACTAGCATGGAACTTTACAACTTACCTGTACTAAGTGTACTTATGTTTTTACAAACTCATACTCTTTTTTTCCAGGTTTTGAAGATCATGATCACATGGATGCATCTAACCAAACCCTACCTGAGCTCATGGCGGTTCTTTAGAGAACATAGCTAAATTTTTCCCTCATACTTTGTGTGCCACTCACCATAGGACCTTGTTTGATGGTATCTATCTGCAGTCTTCTAAACTTTCCGCACAATGTTATCTTTATTAGCTTGAACTCCTTTCTTAAAATGGTCCTTCTGTTGATTCTGTCAGTCCTGCTTTTGAAAGAAGATGTCCGTGGGAGTGCACAGTCCAGCGAAAGAAGGGTGGTGGCTCACATGCCAGGTGACATCATTATTGGAGCTCTCTTTTCTGTCCACCACCAGCCTACTGTGGACAAAGTTCATGAGAGGAAATGTGGGGCGGTCCGGGAGCAGTATGGCATTCAGCGAGTGGAGGCCATGCTGCACACCCTGGAAAGGATCAACTCAGACCCTACACTTTTGCCCAACATCACTCTTGGCTGTGAGATACGGGATTCCTGCTGGCATTCAGCTGTGGCCCTAGAGCAAAGCATTGAGTTCATAAGGGATTCCCTCATTTCTGCAGAAGAAGAAGAGGGCTTGGTACGCTGTGTGGATGGCTCTTCCTCTTTCCGCTCCAAGAAGCCCATAGTAGGTGTCATCGGGCCTGGCTCCAGTTCTGTGGCCATTCAAGTCCAGAACTTGCTCCAGCTTTTCAACATACCTCAAATTGCTTACTCAGCAACCAGCATGGATCTGAGCGACAAGACTCTGTTCAAATACTTCATGAGGGTTGTGCCTTCAGATGCCCAGCAGGCACGAGCTATGGTGGACATAGTGAAGCGATACAACTGGACCTACGTGTCGGCTGTGCACACAGAAGGTAAGTTTCCTTCCCGTATATCTAGTAGGGCTTATGACGTGCTTAGCATCTCCATGCTAAAATTCCAGGTTTGCAAGGCTAAGCTGTGCTGAGTATTTTGAGTTGCCTCTATAGTAGCATTATTCAAAAGGATTGGATTAAAAATGTCTAGAGAAACAAATATTAAGGTAACATAATGGTTTGTGTGTCCATAATTTGGTTAAATGAAAACTTTGAATTATCCATTAGATTGTTTTTATTTCTGCTGTAATGATGATTTTTGATATTTGTTTCTAGAGATATCTAAGTTTTCAAGATCTTTGTTGAACTTCTGCTATATTAAGATTTTTAAGATTACTCCAAGTGCTATTTTTCCTGGTTATTAAAGAAAGGTACACAAAAATACACATAAGACAGAAGGTAGCCAGTACTAGCTCAGGTATGTTGTCATAAAGAATTACCAGTCTAGACTCACAACTGTTTTCTAATAGAATGCATAGTCAAATCAGAAATGGAGATGAGTGAATTAATTTTATCTTTGTGTAGAACATTTTTATAAGTATAATTTTTAATAGTGCAATATGTTTGCCTTAAAGTGTATTGCTCCTCTATGCTGAAACTATAGAGAGGAAGGGAAAATGACATATTTATGTGAATACTAATTTCTCTTTGTTGCTTATGGCATTTTTAAAGTGATTTTGCAAATATTATTTATTAGTTCTTGGCTGAAATTGTTTTCAATGGATTTAATTTGACCTACAGAGGTACAGTGACCCAAATAGTGAGGGTCATGTGTTATACAACCTTTTTTAAAGACAATAAAATGTTTATATTAAACATATAGAACACAGAATAAGATACAAATCTCTTTCTATCAAACATCGAATTATTGTGAAGATTAGTTAAGGATTAACTAATTAATTAATTAATTAGTTGAAAGATTCTGTAATAACATATCAATATAGGCCAAATCATGCAATCTGTAAAATGTGATGCTAAGTTATTGGGAAATTAATGAAGTGATCTGTATGAACTTACTTCAGAAGTTAGAGTCAATAACCATTTATGTTTAGGAAAGTTTTCATTTGCAAGTAGCATAATATCATGAATTCACTGTATGGCCACTTATTCGTGTATTTAGAACTCGCATGAAATGTCTTCTATATGGATAAAGATATGTGAAAATTTCCATGTATAAATTGCTGGCTTATTTAAAGGCATGTCGGTTTTGGATTTTGAGCATTGGAAGAGTGTTTGGAGTAGCAGATATTTCAATATTTTTTTCTTTGCTGAGAAAAAAAGAAATTTTTCTTGTTGTTGTTGTTCAGTACTTGGGAGAGAATCCAGGGCATTATGCATGCTGCATGGTAGGCAAGCACTCTGTCTCTGAGCTACATTTCAAGTCCTAAAATATCCATTCCTTGTTTTGCTCACTTTGTTATTGTTTTGTTTGTTTTTGGCTCTAGGGATCAAACCCAGGGCCTAATAAATATTCAAAAAAATGTTCAACATTTTAGCCAATAGAGAAAGCCAAGTCAAAACTACACTGAGATTCCATCTCACCCCAGTCAGAATGGTATCATGAAGAATAAAACAACAATAAATGTTGGAAAGGATATAGGGGAAAAGGAACTATTTCACACTTCTACTGATAATGGAAGTCAATACACTCACCATCAGGATGTAGGCTGCTCAAAAAATGTGAACTAGTACAGCTACTAAGGAAATCAGTAGGGAGGCTCCTCTGAGAGCTAAAACTAGAGCAACCACTTGATCAGGCTCTACTACTCCTTGGCATATGCTCCAAGGAATGAGTATCAGTCACTATAGGGATACCTGCATACCCATGTTTAATGTGGTACAATAGCCAAGACATGAAACCACCTAGGTGCCCATCAATGGATGAGTTAAGATACACACAAACACACATACACACACACACATACAACAGAGAATTATTCAGCTGTAAAAATAACCAAAGAATGTCATTTTGGGGGAAAATAAATGAATCTGAGGTTTACCTGTTGAGTAAAATTGGCCAGGCCCAACGTATCATCTACTACCTAATATATGGAATGTACAATTGATGACAAAAAGAAGGAAGACTTATTCAACTAGAATAAGGGAATAGAGTGGGACAGGAGAGTGGTATTAGGTCAGATAATAGGGGTGAAAGTATGATCAGAACTCATTATATACTGGGAGCCTTGACAACTGAAGGTGAAACTAGGGGGAAAGATGGGACAAAGGGGAGAAAGGGACATACACGTATCCATCAAAGTGAAGCCCATTGTCCTGTATATCCAACATACACTAAAAATGGGGGAAAAAGTTACAGAATTAAATTTGGCTTAGAATTAAACCTGTAGTTGAGGATAGCAATATGTAATGTAACGACCACTGTTGATTCATATTATTTTCTCTTGAGACTGTATTACTTTGAATATTCTTGCTTTGATTTGTTTATGCTTGTGATACTGGTATGTGCTACTGTTCTAATTCTTCATTTGTTTCTCATTTACTACTCTTTTTAAAATAAAAAAATTAAAACATTTTTTAAAAAACGAATTAAACCTTCAAATCACTAAAGCACAGCATTAAATTAGGGGTTTTAAATGTGATGATACTTTCTGAATTTTGTGCCACTGACCAATAGCATAAAGTTAAAATTATTAAAGATGTTTTCTCTTATTTAAAGATCAAATTTTTTCCTGGGCTTTTTAGAATCAAAATGTTTGATATATTAAAATACAACACCTAGGTAAGTAGGTAAGGTTTGCAACACCTAGGTAAGTATACTGACACCGAGCCACATCTCAGGCCCTGTTTTTGCCTCCCCAGTGCTTAGGTTTTCCTTGTGAATGTACCATTTTATTTGACTTTCACAACTACCCAAGTATATAGATAACTCCAGATATCTTGTGTTTATTTTAAAATAAAAAATCCTTAAGAGCTTTAAAGCTTTATGATAACCCCAGATATCTTATTTTTATTTACAATAGAAAAGCTTTAAGAGCTTTAAATAATTAATTAGATAGATATTTATTGCCAACATTAGAGCCAGTGGAACTAAACCCTTAGTATATATTCATGCAGAACACAAACATATAAGCCTCTCTGATTGTTCTGTGAAGGATATTCCTATATTTTATGTACAAAAGCCTTCATTGGGCTTGCAGTCTGGCAAGTGGGATGAGACATGCGTGAATATTTGCAAAATATAATTCCAGGTACCAGAAAGTAAAAAAAAAAATATGTTTCAAAGTTTATTGATGGACAAAATCACTTTCTCCTCTGTGGTTATTGAGGTCACAGTAGTAATCACAGAGAAGGAAATGGAATTTGAAAGGGGAGTTTTAATGGAGAAAATATTGAGAATTAAGAGGGATGAATTTCACCTAAGGGCATGAGGAAATATGAAAATTTGGAGGCTTCCTGCTTCAGAAGATCAGGGCTTGGTCCCTACGTGGAAGTTGCTAATGCAGAACTGTGCCCCAAAGGAGACTCGGAGTCATGAGCTTGAGCCTATGCTCGTTTAGACATTTATTTTAACATAAGTACACACCAGGAGTAATTGAGTATGTTACTAAAGTGATGATGAAATCACACAAAACTTTATCTAGTCATTAAAGTGAATGAGGAACTCAACAGGTGATGAGCTAATAATATTGACATCCAAAATCCTTTGAAGTGGAAAAAAACAAGATGTAGTTCTATATATATGGTATCCTATTTGCTTAAAAGGAGTTCAAATAAAACTTTATAAAAATTTAATAAAAATTTTATTGCGTAGGCATATAATCACAGAACAGAACAATATTAAACAGGTTCTCCTGCTAGAAAGAAATTTAAGCAGCTCAGGAATAGAATGCAATTAGAGATATTTACTTTCTGTGTATAACTTTTACATACAGATAATTGAAATTGTGTGTTATATATGAATAAATTACCTAGTACAATATGTAATTTACAAAAATATTTCACTCAAGGGAAAAAATAATAAAATAATAGGAACTATGTTGCCAAATTCTGGCAAAATATGTTGTCAATAAAACCAGGAATCAGCAGAGAAAAAACATTAGGATGGAACACTCAAAGACTTAAAGTAACACACTTTGGGTATTGTTGTATGTGATTATGCCAAGAATCTTCCTTTGGTGCTAAGTAAATGGGTGGATACTGAGGTTACATGACATTGCATTTTATCAGGATGAGTGCGGCATGGTGCGAGTTTCCTTACAAGGTAAAATTCAATTTTAGGGTCAGAAATGTGCTTGAGTCAAACAAGGTGCAGCTTTGTCAGGTCCTGTGGAAGCTCTCAAAGGTGATGCGGGGTCTTCTGCTGCATGGCTCTTTGAAAAGCGTCTGTGGGTTCTTACATAAAATGAAAATCTTCAGCTTTCCTCTATGGCCAGGTTGGGGATAATTCTCTTTAGCGTTACATCAATCAGTCCCCATACCTTATAATTTATGCTGATATTCTCATCCTCATCCTCCGTTACTCAGTAGCCAGTCCTCAAAGTATTAATATGTCCAGTTGTTCTCACATGAACCATTTAGTTATCAGACAAGATGTGGATGTATTTTTAACAACATTTTACCCTTCAGTTGTCCATTTATTTTATGCATGAACATGACAGTACTGTGTTGCTCATTCCTCTGTACAGCTAACACAGATGTACCTATGAGAAAGCGTGTGCCATCACACGATTCAGAGAAGAGCATGAAGATCTGAGTTCAACTATATTTAAAATCTCTTGTATTAACATTTCCTGCAGTGATTTTAGTACATTGCAAGAGCAACTATTCGCTATGACTTTTTGCCTTAAACTGACATCATGCCTAGAACTTGTAGGCAAAGAGATTTATAGTATAAAACAAATGAAGGAACAAAAAAGAAATCATGATCAAGGGACGATTAAACTGGTCCTCTAACTATGTAGAGGAAAGGAAGATACAATGACTCAGAAGGAAAATTCCATGCCTTTTATGAGTCAATACACTCAGCAACCTCTCTGCTG